CTTCAGGGAATCCACTTCTTCCAGTATGGTTCTCCAAACTGCAAATGCTGACTTTTACTCCTTGGTTATGCCAAGAAAATAAGTTAAATTAAGTAATTCAAATGCATCTGTGATTAATCTTTGAAGAACTCCATCCAGTATTACCCTCTACTTCCGCCTTGACAAGAGAAGTCCCATCTCTCCTTTAAGAAGTTCGTTCATCTCTTTGTACTTCCTAGACAATCCCCATATCCGTGTATTTGATCCATGAAAAAAAATGAAAAGATAATCATTTTATTTGTTTAGATTAAATGATGTGAACTAAAATTAATACAATATTCAGATGAAATTCAAGCAGCTTCTGTAATGAAATAAATATTTATTTAAAGAAAAGTGAAGTGTGTTTGATGACCTCCTTATTTTTCTCTCAAGCCATGTGTATCATCCATCCATGTTAATCTGTGTCGGATTTCCTCTGTAAAGCAGTATTTCCTCTGGAAGCCAATTCAAAACACTGTTTTTGGTCACTGCCAAACAAATTGCTTCAACCTAACCTCAACTTAAAAGAATGTAAATGCATGAGGGTGAAATTTCAAGGATGGAAATGAAATATAGGTATGTTCCAGAGTCCACAGGCAGCATTTTGAATCCCTGTCTTCCCTGAGCTTGGAGTTTCAGCTTCACTCCCTGCTATAAACCCTCACTGATGCTGTTGCAGAGGTTCAGCTTTATCCTCTTTAAAGGAGGACACTTGGACACATATATTCGAAGTACAGATCTGAGTCAGTCAGGAAGAACCTTGCAAAATGAATAGTGATCACTCAAATCAGAAGCAATGGCAGACTAAGGGCTGCTGTTCTTTGGTTAGCGAGTTAAAAAGAGTTAAGAAGAAGAAGAAGAAAAACAAGATATCTAAGTTATCATCGGAGGCCAGCATGATGACAATTTATGATAGAGTAAGGGCATGGGGAAGAAGCGCACGTTGGAGGTTGCTGCCCAGGCTTGTTTTGAAGCAGTCACTCAAACGTGAGTGATCGCAGGCCACCCTAGAGGACTCCTATGGATGTTTCAGTAAACCCAGGTACAAAGAAATGGGTGAAAAGCACACATACACACGCACGCACAAAAAAAAAAAGAAAAAAAGAAAAAAAAAAAAACATGTAGCACGAACATTTCTCCCGGGGACGATACGAGAGGACCGGCTGAGGGAGGGGGCCGCGTTCCCCCCGGCCGGAGAGGGGCGGGA